ACATCAATAGAAATACCCTGTTTTCCTGAACACCGTTTCCCTTACCCAGTAGAACATCAATAGAAGTTCCCTGTTCCCTGAACTCTGTTCCCCCTTAACCTATAGCGAACCATGCAGTCCCCTTAGTCCATCAGTAGGACCACCCTGCTCCCTATTTTCCCTTTAGTTCATTTGTCGGACTACCCTGTTCCTTCCAACCCCCCCTTGTTCATCAGTAGGACAACTCTGTTCACCGGTACCAAACCCTGTTCCCTCTTACTCCCGCAGCCCATGCCACCCACATTATACCCCTCTTCCCTTTCGACTTGTTTACCAGTGATCGGCCTCGTCTCGTCCTTCACAGATTTCAGCTTTGCTTCATGATTTTTGGCAGCCGGGACGTTGCCTTCTAGAGGGAGGGGATAGTGTTACGGACTTCGCCAGGGCTCGATCCCTGGTCTATCTGTTTGCTGTTTCAGCTGCATCCCGTTTTCGGCCTGGCACCCATTTTCCAAACCCCTCCTTTGGTACCGCAGGATTTTGGACAACTGGCGCCATGCTGCAATTCGGGCGCCACTTCCAATTACTGCATTTTTCAGTTCTGCCCTCGGGGCCTTTGCAGAAATGCCCCTAGTACCGTACGTGTCACCGGTACTTATATCGGCTCCCGTACGGTACGGGGACCAGTCGCGTACCAGTTCTCTGCTGCTGTACTCGTACTCAGTGTGACTTGCTGTTTTCGGCATTCGGGAATCCAAGACTTCGACTTTGTGCCTTGCCACTGTGTCTGCGTCCGATCCTGAGTCCGAGTCCGTCGTGTCGAGTGAGTGAGTGTGTGTGTGTGTGCTCTCACTCTCCCCCTCTCTCTCCTCTCCCTCGGCTCACTCTCAGCCTCACGCTCGTTACACTAACTTCAAGATCAACGCAAAGAAGTGTGAACGGGCAAAGACCCAAGTTTTGTATTTACACCATGTCTTAGACGGAGACGGCATCAAACCAGAAGATAGTAAGATTGCAGCGATTAGAGATTGGCCTACACCCCGCACGTTGACAAAGTTGTGGTCGTTCTTAGGTCTAGCTAACTACTACAGGAAGTTTGTTAGGAACTTCTCCACCATCGCTGCTCCCCTTTGTTGAAGAAAGAAACAATCTGGAAGTGGGACAAGGACTTCATGTTTGCCATGAAGAAGTTGAAACAGGCGTTGATAGAGTACCCAGTCCTTAAGGTAGCCGATCCGTCCTTACCTTCCGTTGTCACCACTGACGCAAGCCAGTATGGTATAGGTGTTGTATTACAGCAAGACGATGGCAATGGATATAGACCTGTAGAGTTCATGTCTGCTAGGATGCCTTCAGAAAAGGTAGCGACATCTACCTATGAGAGGGAACTCTACGCTCTCAGGCAAGCATTAGAGCATTGGAAGCACTACTTGCTTGGGAGGCACTTCAAAGTCTATTCAGACCACGAGACATTAAGGTGGTTGAAGACTCAGGCCAAGATGAAACCTAAGCTGACTAGGTGGGCCGCAGAGCTAGACCAATATGATTTTGAGCTCAAGCCCGTCAAAGGGAAGTACAATGTAGTTGCGGACGCTTTGAGTAGGAGAGCTGATTACTTTGGAGTGATAGTTCATTATCTGGATATAGGGAGAGACCTGCAACAGAAAGTTAGAGAGGCATATGCGCAGGACCCTATCTATAGTGACCTCCTCAAAAGAGTAAAGGAGGCCCCAAAGTTAGAACCAGACTACCGCACTACTGATGGGCTACTATTCGAGAAGACTAACATGGTTGACCGATTGTGCGTTCCTAACAGTGAAGAGATCCGTAGTTTGATCCTAGGGGAATGCCACGATACTGAGGAAATTTTTGGTTGGCAAAAGACCCTAGCTAACCTCATGCGCGCATACATATGGCCTAGGATGAAGGCCGACTGCATAGAGAATGTTCGCAGTTGTAAGGTCTGCCAGAGAAATAAGACCTCTACGAGTGCCCCTCTAGGTCTTTTCAGACCCTTGCCTATTCCTGATCAGTCAGGAGATTCAGTGTCCATTGACTTTATGGACACCCATGTCAAGAGTAGGCACGGCAAGAGCCAAGTCATGGTAATAGTTGACAGGTTTAGTAAGTATGCTGTTTTTGTTCCTTTGCCCTTAGAGGCACGCACAAAATTAGTTATTCAGAAGTTCTTTGATCATTGGGTCAGTGAACACGGGATTCCACTGTCTATAGTTAGTGATAGAGACACCTGGTTCACTAGTCAGAACTGGCAGGAGTTGATGAGAGTCTATGGCTCCAAGTTGTTGATGTCATCTGGCCGTCGTCCAGAGACTGACGGTCAGACAGAACAAATGAATAAGATCCTGCAACAAGTTCTGTGAATGTACATTAGACCGGATCAGATCAATTGGGATGAGATGTTGCCCAAAGTAGCCAGTGCGTATAATAACAGCATGCACTTGTCTACCTGTCGCACTCCCAATGAGTTACACAAGTCCTTTAGACCACGTAGACCGTTTGAGGGACTGAACCGGGACCAGATTCACAGGCTGCCGCCCGGTACTAGGGAGTTTGCATCACAGCACGAGAAAGAGTTAGCTACCGTGGTAGAGAACCTCAGGAAAGCCCAGCACCGAATGATAGAACAAGCTAGTAAGCACCGTCACCCGTCACAGTTTCAAGTAGGCGACCTGGTCTGGGTGAAGTCCAAAGAGTTTGCTCCTGAGGAAAACATCTCGCAGAAGTTACTGCCCGCGAATAGAGGACCGTGGCCAGTTCTGGAAGTTAAGGGCGGAGAGGATGGGCCATCCTACACAGTAGAGATCCCAGCACAACTCCACACCTACCCTGTGTTTCATGCCTCAAAGTTGTTGCCGTGTGTCACAAGTCAACAGTTTCCATCTAGAAGATCCATGATTCCTCCGGAATGGACAGAAGGTATGACACTGACGGCATTCTAGGTGAAGACGTGTTCAGAACAGGAGGTAGAGGTCGTCCGCAGAAGCAATACAAGGTTCGGTTTGCTTATCAGGAACCAGAGGACGACCGCTGGTTTACTAGAACAGAACTTCTAGAAACAGCTCCCGATGTAGTTAGAGCCTACGAGAGAGATAAGAAAGGTAAAGGTCCTGCCTTGGACTGAGTTATTCTCAGAGGACCTCGAATTTAGGCCGGCGAGAGTGAAACGGTTTTCACCTTTAGCAGTAGCGAATGCAGATCCCAGGGCTCGATCCCTAGTTCTCACCTTACCTGTGTACAGTATCTGTGTCGACTCCGAGTGTTTGAACCCGTGACCTGTGTTTTGGCAGTTGTTGTTGTCTATCGTAGGTCTGTGTAGTGGTAGGGGTTCGATCTGTAGGTCTGTCGAGTAGGAGTCACAGCCCTGTAGAGGTCGTAGCTGTAGGGATCCTGAAAGGTCAAGTTCGTAGCTGCTCCAGTTCTGAGAGGTCAAGGTCGTAGCTGCTACAGTCCTGAGAGGTCAAGGTCGTAGCTGCTACAGTACCCGAAAGGCCACGTCTTCAGACTTCCGGAAGGTCCCGCAAGTGGCCTTTCGGAGTGGGCTCACGTTTAGGCAGAGGCAAGTGGGCAAGTGGTGGAGCCAACCTCAGTACGTTGGCAGTGCGACTGCAGTGAGTCTGCCGTGCAAACCCATGCCGTCAGCGGTACCGGTCCAGTCAGTCCCAGTCCAGTCCAGCAAGTACGATGAGGGACTGTGTGCACCATGGGCCGATGGAAAAGGGCAGACCAGCGAGTTACAGGAGTATAAATCAAGAGGCAGCACCCAGCCATTCATCCATTCCTGCATAAGCCATGCGGAAGCGCTGCCACAGCGACTTGTGCGAGGTGGTCTGCAGTGAGCCCGGAGACGAAGTGGGCGAGAAGGAAGTTAGCCATAGCGACAGGGTAGCAGCGGCAATAGCCGCCATAGCTGTAGGTGTGTGCGGGTGTGTGCAGGTGTACAGGGTGTTGCGTGTGGGATATCCATGGTGGTCCTGTGTGCGAACAGCAGTGTTGAGTATGTGACGAACAGAGAGTTGTACAGTTGGTGTGCCGCCATAGCCGTTTGAAGTGAACTTGTATCTGAGCTGCGTTCTTGGTACTATATCTCTGAGTTCTGAGTGGGCGCTTGACGCCAGTTTGCTGCGCAACCTGTTTGCATACGTGTGAAGTGTGAATGAAAGCGAGGCTGATTGCAGAAGAGAAACCACGCTGCAGTGTGATGAGAATGTTGGATACTGTAGCAATCTCGTGCTCACTCCGACATAGACCTTTCCAAGTCGCAGCGCCTAATTCTTTCAGAAAGTGTTAGTGTGAATATGGCAATATGCACTATTAATAGGCATGGCAGCTAGAACGGGCATGTTGCGTTCCGCTCACAAGGCTTCAAAGAAAAGAGAAAATCAATGTAGAAAGAGGTGACGAAATCAAATGGATTGTTGTTCGGAACTTTGCTAAAATTGGAACAATACAGAGAAGATCAGCATGGCCCCTGCGCAAGGATGATACGCATAACTCATGGCAGCTATAACGGGCATGTGGCGTTCCGCTCACAAGGCTTCAAAGAAAAAGAGAAAATCAATGTAGAAAGAGGGGATGAAATCAAATGGATTGTTGTTCGGGACTTTGCTAAAATTGGAAATTAGCATGGCCCCTGTGCAAGGATGACACACATAACTCAAGACGGCTGTCCAAATGAGTAAAGGAAAAATAAGGAAAGAGGGAGAAGGGAGGGGGAAAAGAAACAGTAAATCGAAGGGATACAAAATAATGAAAGTAAAACGATCGCGGAAAAAAATGGGACCAGTGTGGACTTGTAATTGTGTTAAAACTGAAGAGATTTGTGAAGGCGGTAGTGAAACCGCATTAAACCACAAGTACACGGCCCCAGCCTTGCAGTCCGAAACTTGCCGCCACAAGAAAACGAGGCCGAAACGTCAAACGCTGGGCCCGCCGTTGATAAATTCGATCAGCGGCCTCGTTTTCGTTCTGTGCCTCCAGAATTTGAGGTGTCAGACACGCTGCCCAGGTCCCCATCTACTGGTGCTTTAAGGGTAAGAATAGCAGAAAAACAGGAACCAATGAAAAGGTAGCGGGCCCCTCAGGGAGCAATGGCGGGACAGTGCAGTCTGTAGTGATTGGTTGCCTAGACGGACTGGCCCCACTGATGTTGTGTACATGCCAAAGAGCCACGACTTTGTATGTGTAGTTGGCCAGGCATACATTGTCATCACAGAAGAGGCTTTGGTTTGCCCCGACTTTTGTGAATCCAATCCTTTTCTTGCCCTAAGCGCCCACAGGCTCACGTTTTAGTCCAGATGCAGCAGAAATGACCGTATGTTCTATTGGGGGGGAGAAGGTAGGTTTTCCCTGCGAGAGAGGAGGAGAGACTCTAGGTTTTTCCTGCGAGAGATCGGGAGAGGCAGGTGGAGAGAGAGAGAGGGGGAGATAGGGGTACATGAGAAGGTGAAGTTCTCGCATACGGAGTGTCGAGTGGCGACTGGGGATGGCTGTGCAATGTATTATTCTCATAAAGAATTGCCCGGGAACCATAGGGAAGGGGGAGAAGAGGACAACGGACGAGTGGCTGTGGCAGACAGACTGTTGAATAAGGAGGCTAAGTACGGTACGGCAAGCCATGATTATAGAATAGCTGTGTAGTGGGCATAAGATGTCTCCCTTTCTTGTTGCTGTTTTGCCGATGATGACGCCTACAACTTGTCGAGGAACAGGTTGCAGGAAACCTGTGTGGCATGTAGGCCAGGCTTGTATAGAGAATGCATGGTAGTGAAGATTTGTGTGGCATATATTACGTACGGTCCTGAGCTCGTTACCCGATCCGATATGGAATGTCTGAAGGATTGCGAACGGGATCGAGAAGATTAGCATGGCCCCTGTGCCATAATACAGAAGAAAAAAGAAAAGGATGCCGAAGGGTCTGGGACCTATTGGAATGAAACAGTGCTTGCGGCAGCAGAGAGATCCCTCTGTGATCTCCACTTTGTTTCCATTGGGTTTATCCCCTCCCCCATCCTCCTCGCTTGTCCTATGCTCTGGTTGTAATGGCTTACAAAGGGAGTCAAATTTTCTTCTTCTATTTGTGTTGGCCTTGATTCCACGGTTATTCCACGAGGC